CACGGATGGGGCGTTCACACACAACGTTCCAGTCCAGCACACATTCATCTCGGTACAAACAGCATTTGAGGATACCATTTGGAACCTCAGGCGCTTCGCACTGGACACGATGGGCATGCTTGACAATCTTGACCTGGCCCAACTGAAGGAGCGTTGCGGTGATCAGTGTCGGCTCTCCAGTGGCAAGGCAGTTCGCCAGGAACCGAATCTCTTCTGCATGGAGTTGGCATCCTGAGAACTTTACCGGCGGGACTACAAGCAAGGCAAGGCCTTTAGCAGAAATGAGCTTACCTGCAGTTGCATACGGTTCCGCAGTAGCCTGATCCGTGATGATCACTCCGCAGGCATTTGCATGCACTGCATGAATCTGGATCTGCTGGACGAACTGTCCTTCATGCTCCTGAAAAACCTGGCTTCTGATTTCAACCTGATCATGCAGCACTGGTCGATTTTGCTCTCGGAGTGTGCTACTAAGCTTTGGCGGCTTCGGCGGCTGCTTCATGCCCACTGGTTTGCCTTTGCTGGCACGACGCTCAATCTGCAACTGCAGTTCATCTGGCAGCACTAACCTGACACTCGGCTTGACCTGATCACACTGCTGCTTAAGCGCACTCCAAGGATTGTGGGCTTGGAGGGCCCGCAGCACAGCATCTGTTCCAAGTGCATTGATCACGTGTGCCGTTCTCTCAGCAACTCGTTCAGGGAAAACCCCATGCTTGGCTAGTTCAACCTGCAACGCCTGGGAGGCTTCCTGCTTGGTTTGGGCACCAAAACCTCGGCCAGCCGCAAGCATGCATGGTGGCCCAACCTTGGTTTGCACCTCAATGTACTCTCGGAACTTCTGCTTGGGCACAACTGGATCAGAATATTGCGGCTGATCCCACGCATCCCCTACGGCGAACGCAAGGAAATGGACGGCCCTGAACCCACACTGGCCGTCTGCAGTACGCGGCTCCTCATGAACCACCGTAAACCTGTGGCACCCAACGCTCTGCATGACCTGCCTGTGCAGTTTTCCAAAGTTGGGCAGCTGCATAATGTGACACTGGATGGATGCGCGAAGCTGGCCAGCCACAGTGTGCTGCTCATCTTTGACAACCGTGATGATATTGACCTTTGACTGGTCACTGAAAGGCTTTCGCTTTCCCCACTCGTCAAATGCACTCGGGATTTCACTCAAGACGGCCCGACTGGCAAGCAATGGGTCGAGTACCCATATGTCACAGCTCCGTGTCTCTGCCTGGATGCGTTGCATGGCATAAAGCAGTTCATCATCTGCCCACGCTTGTCAAGCACCTCAATTCGGTCCGTGGGGGTGTGAGTGGGCGCCCTCCATGGTGCAACACCTTCATAGGAAACTGCCGGAAGCAGACCATTGAGCAATCTGTGGATCAACGTCTCAAGGGGATTGCTGCTTACACCATCTTGACGTGCAATGGCGTTGTGTGCAATGTGACCCTTGGCTTCATGCACATGGCCGGGATCAGCCTCCTGCACAGTTGTGAGTATGGCTTCTTCATCACTACTAGTGATCTCAATCTCAGTCCGCGGTCTCTTTGCAACCGGTGCTGCTTCACTGGCTTCAGCTTCCTCAGAGCGCACCTGTGGCAATGTTTCATCTGGCGTCTCAAGACATGCGGGCCTGCTTCTGCATCACTTGCTCCGGCAGGCGCACCAAAATCCAAAGGCTGGCTCCAGAAATCCAGAATTGCTTGTGCAACGCTCTTCTGATATGCTGCCAGAACCTCTGTGGGCTCACTGGGTTCCCTACCACATGCAAGATCAACTGCTTTGCGCACACATGCTCCCACCCACACTGACTGGATGGGGGATGCAACTTGGCCAGTGACAGCCAACGCCAAGCGCATGTCAGATCCAAGCGGCATGTTGGGCTGAATCCCTACCAAGGCACAAACCTCTCTGGGGTGAACATGGCGAAACACCTGGACATGAGAGCCATCACTTGCTACTTCCGTTCTGTCAATCACAATGGCTCCATGAATGCCCTTGCTCGCCAAGCGATTTTCAGTGAAAGGGAACTTCCTACACCCACAAGCGCATGGATACACTTGACTTCCCCAGCTGTGCAAGGCTGTCTGTGCTGGACCTTCTTTGTTGATCAGGAACATTCTCAGCGGCTTGTGCTCCGAAAACCTCCTTTGCTCATACTGAGTGAGCTCCAGCTGTTTCACCTCCGCCTGTGGCCACTGCGTGACCTGCTGAAGCACCTGGCGAACCTTGCGACACTCACTGCAGATGGGAAGCTGTGGGATGCTTGCTGGTGCAATCCCTGGATGTGCCAGAACGCACCAGCATCGATCACGTGCAGAACACCATGCTCAACTGAGTTGCAGCTGCTGCTCACGGATTTGAAACCCGGTTTGGCGTGTCCAAGACTCCAAAATCCCCCGCACCCATGCATCTGCACCAGCCCCAGTGACACACTCCAAGATGACCACCTGAGCGCCCAGGAGATACGAAATCATGAGTGTGGAGCTCTGTGATCACCACCTCCACCTCCGTCGCCAAGCTGTGAAAACGGCTGACATGAGACGCCAGCTGCCACAACGGCAGCATCTGGGTGTCGCCCTACGATGTGCGATTGAATCTTGGGGCAGCAAATATCTCCTTCGACCACAGTCTGTGGGCTCTGCAACCTCAAAGTCTGGCTGATCCTTGGCATCCACTCGACTTTCAACACGGGCATGATGCCTGCATACGCCAGTCCGATTCCCATCGCCCCAATGCCAGCGCATAGTTCTACCGCGCGTTCCAAGCTGCTGTCAGAATACGCTCTGCGCCTGCAAGCATAGGCCTCCAACCTCCAGGACCGACGCTCCTCCACCACATGCTGGTGCCGAACACTTGGCATTGATCAACACCAAATGTCCAGCGCCCAGAGGCCAATCACCTGTGACCACCACCCGTTTCTGATGCAGGAGAGTGTGTCCAAGCATCATCTCTGGGAGAACCGCATCCTCCACGATCACCAGCAAGGTCCTCAGGACCTCCACCTCCATGGCTGGCAATCTCGGCTCTATCTGCCGTCCCAGCTCGGCCACTGGGAGGCTAGAGCCACGAGCTATTTCACCAGCCTGAAATAAGGTGGTTGGAGGGATATTCATAAACCACCATTTGGGGTGAGGTCGTGTGAGGTCGTTATAATTCACCCAGATAAACTAAGTCAAGGGAAAATCACCTAGCCTTCAGCAACTCTTAAACAGGGGCCGCCCGAAAGGAAACAAAATGAAACACCTGGGTCTGGGAAAAAAAACATGGCAAAGCGAATTCAGGAATATCTGTATACAACCAGGTTCACCACCAACAAGGAAGCAAATCACACTGACAACTCCCACACATGTGCATCTCGCTGCTGAATGTCCAGCTACTCGGCTAACATTGGCAACCGAACAGCGGTCACTAAAAGTACAAATCATAGAACTTTTCCGCTTGGACCCCCCAAACACACCTCCAAAAAAGGTCGGTTTTAATCTTTGCCAAGCAGGTGTCTGGGCTTGGTGTGTGTATGTGTGTGTTTGGGGGATCCCCCTTCAGTTGAGTAATGACAAAACCCAATCATTATGTGAGATTCAGCTACCCGAATAACCCTGCTTGGCAAAGCCTTCGCCCAGTGAATCCGTTTGCCGTTGTTTAGGCAACCAAGGGAACCACCCTTCAACAAAGAAAAGAACAAGGTTACCTAATGTCCACCTACGATTAGTAAACTAGCCCTAAATAAAGCTAAGCGTGTTCTCAAACCAAATAATAAACTACCCCTAAAAAAAGCTAAATGGGTCCCCCCCCCTCGAAAATTGCTCTAATCCTTTATTATTCTTTTCGGGGGCAAGCTTTCCATTCAAGCTGGCTCATCATAAGTCTTGATTCCAATTCCATCACACCCCAAAGTTATTGAGTGCTTCCCTTCGTCGAATTCTTTAGCTAGAAACCCTCAAAAACACAACTTGACCCTGCCAGCAAGGCTACCCCCCATGAAGCCGCATGCACAAAGTAATTCCTGACCCCAAATAAAGCCAAGCTGATTCCCACTGATGCAAAAGTTATTGGCCCAATACTACTTTAGAATCGACCCAATTCTAAACTAGTATTCCCCCCAAAGCAAAATAAGAAAAAACAACATGCCCAATACTACTTAGAATTGGCCCAATTCTAAAGTAGTATTCGAAAACCAAATAAACAAAGCCCAATACTAAACACATTCTAAACTTTTCCTGACCCTGAAATCTTTCCCCTTAACTTTATTTAGGGTCATTCAGGGGGGGCCCTATTTATTAATCAGAGGCGGACATTAGCATTGGTACCTGGGATCCAGATATTAAGCTACATGCCAGGATGACATGAATTCCTGAGATCCTGAGACCACAGGCCAATGGCAAAAGGACACTGGAAACCTGTACCATCTGCCCTCTGAATGGGGTCCAAGCCTGGTCATTTAGATGGCCTGGGGAGATCGCAAAATGAGTCGTAACCGCTATGCGGGAGGTTGACTGGGGGCTTGGAGTTGGCCACTTGGCTAATTGAATCAATCAAAGGGGGCGGGGAGACAAGGGGGTAGTTGAGAGCCCGTCTTCGGGTTCCTTAGGGTGATTCCCTTTGACCCACCTGGTATGGGATTCCATAAAAGGTGGACGTTTCAGCATATGGCCATTCCACCAACGAACGTGGAAGTGCACAGCTGGTCGGTCTGATGGTGGGACCCTTTTTCCCCCTGTTGCCAGCAGGGCGGCCAATATTCTCCACTTGGACACTACCCCCCCCAAACAAAACAAGGTTGCTGTGCTTTTGGCCTGGTCAAAAAAGATAATGCTTCAAACATAGCAGCTTGTATCTGTTAAGCCTTGCGAGTTCTGAGCATGGAATGAGAGAATCATCCCTATGAACCATCCCTTTTCGGTCCTTTAGAGGAATTCACCCTGCTGATTCCCCCCCCCCGGCCAAGAAGAAGCCAGAAAATCATTTGGCGTCGACAGCGCAGTCGAAGCCTGGGAATTGGTTTTGAGGTTGTCGCTGTAAAAGAGGCGGAGCCTGGTGTCCTGAAGAAACGCCTTGGACCCTGGCAATCCTACCGATACCAATCACCTCTCCCAGACCCAAGGATTCAAACATAAGTCTGGGGGCTTGGGGGGGGGGAATTTCTGAGGTCTTTTGGGATACTTCCATATATATATATATATATATTGCTTCAAAGGAACAGTGAGAAAACGCAGAGCATACATCTGCACCACCACAACTACTTCTGCACCCACTTCTACCACGGCAGAACAACCCTTTAGGGGCCACCAATTTAGGAAACACAATAAACCACCCGCACTTGGTTGCGCTTACCTGCATGCCTGAAGGTAATCCCTTTATTTTCTGGGGGAGTAACGTTTAGTATTGTGCCAGAAGTGGTTTGCAATACACGCCCTTTGTCCCTACATGGCCATGGTTGGGAAAAGGTGTCCTTCTAAGGCTGGGACCTGGACCCCTTCAGACAATAAATTCAGTGAACCGCGTGCACACCGTCTTTATCAAAACGATGAACATCTGATTCATTTCTGCGCGTCCGGGAAACACTTAAAGGCATAGGCATAGGTTGCAATTCCCATGTTCCTCTCTCAATCAAGGACCCCCCCCCGTTGGCTCAAGGAGCTTGGCAGTTGTCGCAAAATTCGGGGGGGGGGGGGGGAACCCCCAAAATGGGTTGGTGGTCCAAACAGCTTACCCCCCCCCCCCAAAAAAAAAAGAAAGAAAAAAAAAAGGTGGGCCCCCAAATGGTTGGTGTCCTTTGAACACCGCAAAAATCGTGCCCCAACAAACTCCAAGGTGCCACTTCGAGTGGCCCAACCACTTCGTCCAAGGAAACAAAAGGACACGGCTTGCCAATTGCGGTTGTCTTTTTTGAGGGATACCGTTTGTTGCTTTAAAGGGAGACCAAAAGGACACTAACCCTTTTTTGCGGTACCCTACCTTGCGACACTCCCATTTTGTCTACCCTTATCATCTTTTGAATGGTAACGGCTCAAATCAGCCCCGGAAAATAGGGTCCTTGTGCTGCTTCGTGAAGGAGAGTTTGTACTTCGACAAGTAGCCCTTGTCCGCTCCGTCACCCAGGTAGTTGGTGATGTGGTGCACCTTGCTCCCCTATAAGAATTCGAGTGTTTCGGGGCTTCGCAAGGGACAGCAAAGGGACACCACCCCACTTTCGGGGCTCCCATCTTGATTTGCGCATATGGACCTTGGCGGCAAGTAAGAAAGCCGAATCTACCTCAGCGTTTGAATTTTGCCCACATATCTTCAGATATCTTGCACAGTGAACATTTGAATTTGAGCTTCACAACAGATCCCAGGAAGCGCTTCTACCCATCTTCCAACAACTTGGCGCTCCGCAGGGAATGAGAAATGGAATGACCGCTATAGACCTTCCCTTGTGGCTTCCTTTAAGGGAATCCCTAGGTTCATTTCCTGGCTCATTCCCTACCTATCGCACCAAGGCCAGGGAAGCGCATAGGGAAGGCCCTCAGTTGACATGGCGCCTTGGTGCTCTGGGATGGCACATTGCTCAAGAGGAGAAGTTTCTCTAACGCAAAGTTTCTCTAAGAGGGCAGGGCCCTCAAAAAACATCAAGGGGTTGAACGGTTCTTCATCCGGGGTCGGCATTTAAACAACAGAAAGCCTTCAAATGAGCCTATGCTGTGAGAAAACAAGTGGGCAACACCATTTCAAGGAAACAGCACACGAGAGGCACAGGATCCCAGGTCATCTGGGTTCGCCCGTTGATCCCGTTTTTGCTTCCCAGGGCGGGGGAAAAAGTATTGACGCCCTCCTTGGGTCAACGAAGGCGAAGAGGTGACACAGTGCCTTTCCGGAAACGGAAACGTCGGAACGTGGAGGCACGCGCTTTGCGTGTCAGCGCGAAATGTGCTCATTCCGGCCTATACCAAGCTGAAACGGAACTACAAACACTTGTAAGGGTAGCTTCTTTCCAGGCATCCTTCTTTCCAGGCATCCTTTTTTCGAGAAAACCGCCAAAAACCCTGGGAAAGCAGCTGGATTTTGAAAAGAACGATAAGGGCAAAAAAGGGCATCAACCCCTAGAACACTAGCAAACATAAGCCAACATCGAGGATTCGCACATCCCCGGCACGCTGTTGCAACCAGAAGTAAGCGACCTCCATGGGGCCTAAGCGACCTCCGTGTTTCCAGGCGATCCAAAGGCTATGCAGGGCTGCGAGCCAAAGGCACTGGCCTCAGGGTAGAAATCCAATCACAGTTTCTGCCCTTGAGGTGTCATCCTCTTTTCGGAACGGCGAACAAGTGTGGCCAAATGATTCATGTGGGTCTCCAAGGCGCCATCTTGTAGTGCTTCGGAATCTCCTGAGTTGGCAGTCACGACTGAATCTGTCAACTAAGCATCGCAAAACGATGAAGCAACTTGGGGCGTTCTACAATTCAGCCCCTATCCTTCGACCAAGTGTTTGCAAGTTGGCTGAAACCACTCAAAGAGTCGAGCACCCACCGAAAACGCCCAAATATGTTTGGTTAGGCTAAAAGTGTGGACCAAATCTGTGAACCTACCTCAGCTTTTGCCCAAAATTGCCTCGACTGACATTGTACACGTTAACTTAAAATGGAGCAGAAATCCAGATCTCGTTTGGGGAAAGTTATGTTCGTAAGTGGGAAACCCACAAAACAAAAAGGAAATGACGGTATCCACTGCACAACTGGGTATCAAGGTCACACAACTTCCGTTACTTTTGCTATGTTTGGCTTCCTTTTGGGAGCGAGAACCAAGACCGGGCTGTGTAGCACCCAGCCTTCGTGGTGTTATATCCCCAGGCTTGGGTTCTAGGACCCCCCCTTGCCCTCATGGTCGTGTTGCTTTGCCCCGAAGCCCCTCGGTTCCGTTGAGTGGCCGCGGGAGGCCAACCGTTGCTTTATTGAAGAACCCGAGTCATAATGAAAACCGCTTGGTAATGTTCACCCCATTTTAATAGGGGGGTATTCGTTCCCCTCCAAAAGTGATGATTCCCCCACCAAACCCAGGCAAACCCCTTATTAATGAACTGGGGTTGATTCATGTGGGGTCAACATTCCGGTGGATGGTTTCAAAATCCAGAAATCGCTCCACGGTTAATGAAAGTATGGCTGAAGCCATACCGTTTGTTGGCATTTACGATGCTTAAAGTGGTCGATCCCCGGAACTATGGTAAATGAAAGCAGGCGGCTATCCGCACCCAAAAGGATTTTCCCTTAACCATCTACCCGAATCGGCTTTGAGCAAGTGGCTCACCTTCCGATTTTTAGGCGGCCACGGGAAGGGTTGAGCATTCTACGGAATATACTGTAACAGGAAGTTGCCTCAACTTGCCAGGATTCTTGCCATGGAACGCTGCACACCAGCCCCGGAAAGTCACCTCTGCCCTGCCTGCATAACTTGCCGGGTCTCACTCAATGAGTTGGAATGACCCGTCACCATCCCTGGCTTCCAAGGATACTTCCATGTTCATGTCCCTGATTCCCTGAGAACCAGCCAGAAAAAAGGGAGGTACCCTGGGTTTCCAGGTTTTCTTTGGACAAATCATAACACTTATCCATTCCCCCATTTGCTTGAGTCCCCTGGAAAAACATCAAACAATCCAGTGATAGATTCCCCAAAACAACCATCAAATCTCCGTCAAATGGACTGGACCCCTCCACTTCACGGGAGTCACGCCCGATGCTTTTTCGCCCGGCTCCTCCGCCTCCAGCACGAAGTGGCCAGTGGGGTGCCACCCCGTGTAGCAGTTGCAAGTCCTTGGTTGTTGCTGTTGATGCCCCTGCAAAAAGTGAGTTTCACTTTTTGGGGGTTTAGGGAAAACCCAACTTGATGTCAACCAACAAGTTCAAGTCTAAAGATCCGTTGCCCAATAGCAGTCAAGATTCGTATACCCCGGCACCGTCGACACCTCAACGTCCACCTGGCGAAATGGGGATGGGTCAAAATGAGTCACCACCAGGAATTGGACCGCAGGTTTTAGTGCTTGGTTCCATTTGGCAGGGTTCCATCTTGGGTACCTATTTTTGACCCACAGCCACATGAGCAACCCGCAAAAAACCTCGAAATGCGGGCGCCTGGGAAGGCCTTTGGATGCCTTTGGATGCCTTTGGATGCCTTTGGTCCTTTGGGGGGGGGGGGTGGAAGGGGGGCCTTCTTTCGGATCCAATTGGAGTTGTTGAAATTCCAATTGAAAAGGGTAATTTTTGAGAGAGGCGAGTCTGGCCATGGCCCAAACCCAAGAAGGATCTCAGAAGGAGGCTGAGAAGCTAACCGGACCTCTATGGTCTATGGCCACAAGGACCATGATTGCAAAAAGTGCCATTTGCTTAAGGTTCCTGAAAGAAATCGCCTTGAAATGGTTGCCAGTGATCGATTCCCTGGAGAAAAAAAAAAAGCCGAAACTAGACACATCCTCAATGGAACTGAAAGGGTGGAAAATCCGCTCAAAACCAGCCAAGGTGCTTTTTTGCCTCGGGCTTGCATCAAGTAGGCGAACCTGGGATAACCTTCTTAGTTGGGTGGATTTACCAACTAAATGGTCTTCTCAAACAATAAAAAATGTTCCCAAACTCAAAAGCCCGCAGACCAATGGCACCACATCAGTGACCAGTCTTCAGGTCCTTTCCGATTTTCGAGGGAAATCCGCGCGGCCAAACATGATTTTTTTCGAGCAAAGCCTGGCTTTGATTGCCATGACTCAAAGGCACCCAACACGGAACCTGATTCAAAAGGAAGAAGCTGGACAAATCCTGGACTGGACTGGCATGGATTCTCGGATTGGCGGGTCCCTGCTAAACAGAAAATGATCAAGACCAAACCCCTGATGCCTTGGGGGAAAAAGGTGCACCATTTCTTTGGTTGATTTTAAGGAGAAATCCCTCAACACAAATAAAACACGGGGCACCCTGTTACAGTCCTGTTCCAGTTCTTTAGTTAGTTCTTTGGTAGGTCTTAAAGGAAAACACACTCCAACAAGTTGGCCAAACGATGCTAGAAGGATTGCCTTGGACGGGATTGCCGTAGCCTGGCCTTGTGGGATCCTTCGCTGAGATCCTCGCAGTAGCCGATGAAGCTTCTGGGCCGGTGATTGTTCTCGCCCTTGCGAATGTACACGTCCTGAGTTGGCTCTCCCATTGAAAGGCGCGGGGTGACAAGTCTGGAGGGAAAGGACCAGGGAGAACAGGTGGACGGACTGCGCGTCCAACCCGTTTGCTTTTTGGGGCGTTTTGCAATCCCACAAGACCAAGACTGTCAAATCACGTCTGCACTCGGGCAACACGAAAGCATGCTTTCAACCAAGCCCAAAAGGGAGGAGAAATAAGGATTCTAGGGCTACCTTCCCGATTCTTTCCAGGGGTCCTCCTTTTCAGGAAACCAAAAACACAAGGAAACAGCCGGTTTTTGAAAAGAACGATGGTTGAACAGAATGGGGAATCAACCCGTAGAGATAAGGACAGGTTCTCAGGAGTTCTCAATCAAACGGCGTCTGAAGCCGACTCGCGAATCTGTGGCACAAAGAATGCCAAAGAATGCTCTCAGCTTGTCAATGGGCAGCCCTCAATCTCATTTCCTAGTGGCCAAACAAGTTTCGTTGGGTTTACCACTGTTTACCACTAAAATGGTGCAAATCCCCAGAGTCGGAAAAGGAGCTCAAAAAGGGAGTAACGGCTACAGCATACTGTGGATGGACGCAATCCGGCTTTACTTGGAAACCATGGTGGAGACCATACGGCTTGTTGGACTTGGGGAATCGCATCCTTCCAGGGCCTAGGTCGAGGGTGCTTGGTCTGGTGGGTCCGGTCGTTTACTGAAGGCCTGCTCGCGTGTCGCTTGCGGCCCGAGCCGCGCCCATGATGGGGCCAGAGGGGCAGGCCTTCCCGTCGATGCGCAGGTGCCAGCGGCAGCCACAGCTCTGTGGCGTGCGAGAGAGGCAAAGAGACATGGAAAATGAACCGGTTTCGGGGACCCCCGTTTTCGGAAACCACCAGTTGGATGCTTTGGAAGGGTCGATTCCCTCGCAGCAGCAAGTGAAACCCGTTCCCATCCCATCACTCTCTCACTTCGGAACGAGTGGGGCTCGGCCAAGAGGAGCCAAACTTTTGGCTCAAGCCCCGGAACTCGGGGAGTGGTGGGTAGCCAAATAAAAGCTAGAGGCCCAAATCATGGTTAGCTATAAAATCAACTGGAGCCACTGGTGGTTCTCAGCACTGGAAGAAACCACACGTTGACCTGTACAAATGTGACTGTTCATGTCCAGCTCATGAAATCTTTCACTGTCCAAACATCACCAACATGTCAAAAGGCTGCAACTGAGTGGACCATTGGGAAGTCCTGGGAAGTCCTGTACGTACTGCACAGCCCTTCAGATCCGAACCCGTCTTCAGGGTGCAGAATGATAGAATTTGGGTTTTGTCTAGGCCCTCCAGTAGAGAGGTTAGAATACGGGCACCAACTTTTTCTGCAGTCTATTTTACTAGGGGCTTGCCCTCACCAAAACAGGGGTGAGAGGTCGGGCACTGGGGGACCTATAGTTGTCTAGGAGCCTTACAAAGGGAGCCCGGCAACAGTGCCAGATCTTGTTCCAGGCCTTCAAGCTGCGGGTATCGGCACTGGGCCAGTTCCAACATCGGACCCTCGAAAGGGAAACCAAGACCCCAGCCCCATGGGAGGGTCACATAGAGTTGACACCCGGTTTCTAAAACCTCGTGATCCGCCAGAAACCCTGGCGCATATGGCTGGCTTGCCAAGCCATATCAAAAAAAAACAAAAACAAACAACTCCCTAATTGCCTAGCACACTGGGCGTTCATACCTGCGCAGCATATGGCATGGTGGTTTGAAGGGTACCCTTTTTAAGGTCGGCGTTTGAAGGGAGAAGCATAGTTCGACACATATAACCAAGATGGAAGTGTCTTGTTCAGAGGGTGCCTTGTTTGTGGTTTTAACAGGAACCAAAAGGACAATTACCTCCCCCCCCCAGGAGAAAAAAAAAGAAAAAGAAGGAAACAACACGCACACCCATGCGACTGCACCACCTAAGAGACCCTGGAAGGATGATTCCCCTGTAAATACCAACAGTCGGTGTGGGTTCAACCATGGTTTCTTAGGCGGTGCGAGCGGATTCTGTGGCCATGGGTCAAAAGCCCGTACCCCCAGTAAACATTTTAATCACCATTAAATAGACTAAAATGGGTGGTGCACCTACCCCAAAATGGTACCATTGGTTTTGACCCACAGCCTTGTCGATCCACAGAATGGGTGTCCACAGTGAGGCTTGGCCTTCTTGCTTTCCGCCACCCGGAGGCTGTCCGAGTAGAAGAGCCTCACCCGGCTGTCTGCGAGGCGCTTCTTGAAGTTGACCACGCGCTTGTCGATCTCGGCGAAAAGGACAGGAGGGTTGGTTGGTGGGTTGGTGGGTTGGTGGGTTGGTGGGTTGGTTGGTTGGTGGGTGGGTTGGTGGGTGGGTGGGTTGGTGGGTTGGTTGGCTGGTTGGGGGGTGGGTTGGTTTGTTGGTTGGTTGGTTGGTTGGTGGGTGGGTGGGTGGGTGGGTTGGTGGGTGGGTGGGTTGGTGGGTTGGGGGGTTGCGGGGTTGGTGGGTTGGTTGGTTGGTTGGGGGGTGGGTTGGTTGGTTGGTTGGTTGGTTGGTTGGTTGGTTGGTTGGTTGGTTGGTTGGTTGGTTGGTTGGTTGGTTGGTTGGTTTGGTGGGTTGGTGGGTTGGCGTGTGGGTTGGTTGGTTGGTGGGTTGGTTGGCTGGTTGGGGGGTGGGTTGGTTTGTTGGTTGATTGGTTGGTTGGTTGGTTGGGTGGATGGGTGGGTGGGTTGGTGGGTTGGTGGGTTGGTGGGTTGGCAAGTTGGTGGGTTGGTGGGTTGGTTGGTTGGTTGGTTGGTTGGTTGGTTGGTTGGTTGGTTGGCTGGCTGGTTGGTTGGCTGGTTGGCGGGGTGAGTTGGTTGGCTGGTTGGTGGGTGGGTTGGTTGTCTGCTTGGTGGTTGGTTGGCTGGTTGGTGGTTAGTTGTTTGATTGCTTGGTTGGCAGGTCACTGGAATTCCCCAAGTTGCAACTTACTGGTGCTTTCCATTGAAAGGATCGCCACTTGAGGTTACGAACGGAATTGAGGAAACTTTGGACAGTCCCTGTTTCCCTGCTTCCCTGAAATACGACCCCAAATTGTGGCCTTACCAAACAGAAGTGCTGGGGAAAACGGGGGCTCTTAAACAGACTGGGGGGGGCATCGCCAGGTTGGCATCCTGGGTTGCAAGAGCTCAATGAGTCTAAAATTGGGGTTACAGGGGTGCAACCATGATTGAGGCCAAAGGCAAGCTCAGGTGAAATGTGATTTCATTGCTTGAATTCTGGCCTTGGGGCTGGCAAGCATCGGAATGGCAAGTAGGACGCAAACGCGCAACCAAGAAGAAACCACCAGTCATACGAGATACGAGGTCTTCCCACAAAAGTGACTCAGACCCTCCGAAAGAGATAGCCGCCCCCTCTGGATAAGCCAGTTGACAAGCTACCAAGGTTCCCACATCAAATTGCAAGCCTATGACGAATAAACTCCTGATCGATCAATAGGGGTGGCCCATCTTAGAGAACCTTTCTGTGGCAAGTCCTGGAACGCAGGGTTTATTCTCAAGCAAGCTTCCCGCAGACTAATTGACTCGATGCACACGTCCGACAACAATGACAAGACCGGCAGGTTAAAGGGAACAACACCCAAAAGTAATTCAAGGGTTCCCAAAAATTTGACAGGGAGCTAGCACAAACCGGGTATTTGGTCGGCATTCAAACTTTATTCATGAGTAGTCGTTCATACTCTTTCATATTCTTGGCCTTCTTTTGGCCAAATGGGGCAGCCAACGTCCGATCCCGAGGTTTCCATACACAAGTCTCAAGCACAAATGGAGGCCAACATGACGCGTCCCCCCCCCATTGACACGGCACCAACAAACCAATCATGTTTGCAAGAATCTCTCGTCTTTGGGGATTCCCCCCTTTCGCTTCCATGTTCCCACCCCTGCGCAAAAGTTCTAGAGAGAAAACATACTTGTATATACACATATATATATATATGTATATATATACAGCTTCCCTCTACATGGGCCTTCCCCATGTGGCTGCAAAAGAAAACACCAACCATCACCAACCCAAACCACCAACTAAGAGGTGCCTGATATATACAAGCATTGTGTAAAACAAAACAACTTCCATATGCAGGTCAGACCTAATCGAATTGCAGCTGGTCATTGAACCTCGGGATCTCCCCATTTGTGTGAGTGCACATCTGCAAAGTATGCAAGAGGTCCTGAACATATGCCATATGCATTAGATTTTCAAACGAAGGATCTGTATCATGATGCGCTCTCCCTTGGTTCACTCCAAATCTGTGAGCTCATTTGCTGCAAACGAGCTCCGAGAAAGAATAAAAAACAAAGCCAGGGAGCGGGGCCCGTATCGCGGCCGTCCCCGCTGGCTCCTCAGAGGTTTCACCCATTCACGTTGGCCAAAGGTGTGGAGGCCTAAACCTTGCAGTAAAACTCATCTTTGTTGGTTTTCCTTTTTCCTTTTTACAAATATATATATATATATATATTAGATAATTATACAACACCTGAAAGAAGGGATTGCCAAGTGATGGATCTTTGCCATGGTGAGCTTGCTCTTTTGCAATACAAACAAAACCCGAAATAAGGATCCCCTGATGGATCTTTACCACGGTGAGCTCGTTTTACCCCGAGCTCGCCATAAAAATGAAGACATGAAACGAAGTAGAACCATCTACAAACATGACCGGCAGGAGATCTTGCTTTCTTTCTTCGCTGGTCATGGGCAGTCCTTACACACGTGGAGGGATGCTTGTATGTTGATCGGATGCTTGAGTCATCTTTTCTGGGTCAACTCGAACCAACATATGAGAGAAGGATGGGTAACAAAAAGTGGGGGGCCCGTCTCCATTTTCCTTATAGCCCCTGGGAAAACCAACGAAAACACACGAAACCTCCTCCATGTTCATCCATTTTCCTTCAAGCCCCTGGGAGAAAAAAAAACCTGAAGAACATCCGTCCAGTGCTGCAAAGCTGCCGGAGGCTTGGGCATAAAAGGGATAGTCCTCCGGCACCTGTCCGGAGACCCCTTGGCAGACCTCCCATTTTGGAAGCTGACAGGAGTGCCTTGCCAGGTTCCGTATGAGCTGGTGGGCTTATAGGTGAGTTTCCCTTGTGGATGCCCTATTTTTTGCGAAGGGAGCAAGGAAAACGTGGAATCCATTGTGGTTTACCGGGTTTTTGTGGTTGTGCTTGATTTACTTGCAATACTTAGAGCATCCACCGTAGTGATGTTTGAAGAGGAAATCTAGGGAATCCTGTTTTCTGGGGGAACTGCTCCTTTGCACCAACCACTCCTTGGCTGGGGGGAGCAAAGAACAACGTATCTTGCGAACATACCAAAGGGTGATCCGCCCGCAAGTTGCTTTGTCATTTGCTGGCTTATTTTGTTCCAGGAGGAGATCGACTTCTTACCTCTCTTTTTTCCCGGGTGCTGAAAGCTCACCCGTTTTACGGGGGCAGCCGCCTCTTGAACCTCCACGTGCCAAGTGTGTTCCTTGCTGTAGAAGCTCTTGTAGCCTGTGTCGCAGTCGTAGCTTGAATACCTCAGCTTTGGTGTTCAAGGCAATGTCAGGAAAGTAGATTGCAACCATAGGGGACAACCCCAGTTACACCAGCTAGTTCTCCCATGGTTGCAACATTTTACCAGACATGTAACCTATCACAGCCATTGCAACCCTTCTTGTCTGACATTGAGTTCGGGGTCCACATTCGCCGGTCGCGAGTCGCCAGGGCGTTTTCCCTGAATGGCTGGAAGTGTTGCTCGAGATGTGGCTTCCATTGGGTTCTGACGTGAGATAGAGACAACCCATCGAATTGGCAAACTCAAGGGGCCCAGTTTCAGCGACCAGCTTGGGTTCCAGAAGTGCCAAACCCTGGGCAACCTTACCCGGGAAACTGCTTAACCAAGTCTGGGCTAACACTTGAACACAGTGGTTTCTAGAGTCTAGTAGTCTGAAAGGACAGAAGGTCAGAAGGCTGCACACAATTGCGGACCCAACACGCGGCCTACTCTGCTGAACGCAAATGGTGCATGCCAAGAAGGTCAATGCGCCACCACCCATTGAATGAAGAGCGATCAATCTAGCTCGTCTTTGGTGGCAAGGACCAGTTGGACTTGTTCCAATCAACTCAGGAAGTGAGAAGAAAGTTGTTGAGATACCACAAGCGTCTCAGCCATTGTCTCATACCACAAGCGTCAAAAGGCTTCGCCAAAGGCAAGCCAGCACCGGTCCCCACATTCCTCATCGATTAAAGGCTCCCCGTACTTCAGATTATGTTGGTCTTCAAAGCCTCACCCGCTTTGCCCATTCAAGGTGCCTGAATTTCCTTTTGTTGGGGGTGATGCTTGAAGGGGAAATGTAGGGAACCCTTGCATTCCAGATTGCGTTTGTTTTCAGACTGCCTCGTTGTGAAAGCGTGTCATGAGGCATCGCATGGTCCCAAAAGTACGGATGAAGTCCGAGAACGCAGTGTCCGATGCAGTCTCCTCCCTTCCCGGGACTAAATGGATGTACATCGAACTTATCACCCGAGGTCCTGGGCCACTGAAATCAAGCAGTTTAGGGAGGAAACCAAAGACCCCCCCTCCATCCGTGGGTTGTGAAGTGGTTCTCCTATCAAAGCTTTCTGGCCCAGGAAGACTTGCCTCTCCAGGCAAACCTTGGGTGCCGCGATTCAAGAACCGTGAGATCTTCCCTTCCGGGACAGAAACCTTGAGGGCGAAAAGCTTGGTTGACGTTGGGTTTGGGGAGCAGAAATTCCAAAGCTTTAGCTGTTAAGTGGTTGGATTCCAACCACTAAACCACAATAAGATCAAAAATGTAAGGGGGCCGATGTTGTCACTCTTGACTTTCCAGGGGGGAGGAAATTACACCCGCCGATTGCACTCTAGAGACAAAACCCCAACATGAAGAAAGATGCAAAGCTATTGTCAGGAAATAAGACCAAGTGGAAAAACATGTCTAATTGCTGGTGCTCAGCAGGAAATGAGGGAATCAACCTGCAAATTCCTGAAAGGAAACCATAGGGGATGGTCTATCGGGGTCATTCCCTCATTTCTTGCTGAGCACCAGCAAGTAATATGAATGGCTAAATCAGTAGAGGTTTGCGGACCCCAATTACCCTCCCATCCACATGGAACCCACCCTCTGGGGTCCATTTTTAAGGAGAAATTTGCCTTCCAGGTTCCATCTGTAAATGGATGGAGGGAATGTTCCCATGATTTCCAGTCATAGACTCGGGCATTAGAGTGCCTAGCCAAAGCGCCCAGGTGTTGGCCCCACGTGCACCGACACCTCGTGGGCACCCTTGCCTCGGAAAAGCTGATGGTGTTGAAGCGGAAAAAAACAGCCCACCATTTTGTTAACCCTATGTGGGTACAAGGGCCAAAGGGGACGTGAACATCTCTCTAGCTTTGATGCCCCGCCTGTGAATTCTGCGAGTTGGCGCACGCCTTGATCGGTAAATTCGCATAACGCAAAAAAGAACTTGTCACTCCTTTGCCTTCCTTTGCTGCAATGTCTGTGGGCCACGCTACGCCGCTACGCGGTGCCCGCAAGAAGTGGCTCGCATCACTATGTCAGCGATGGAAGTTGGAGATGTTCACCCTTCAACGTCAGCGGCCGCCACCACTAAGTAAGCAGCCCAGGCGATCACTGCGCTTTATGAGAAATTAATTCTGAACCAGGCAGTCACATATCTGAAGGCATGCTAGCCTGACTGGCCGTAGAACCGCCTCGCTCCCATCTCACTAGGCAAGTCGTGCAACGGGAGACTGAAGGAACTCAGGAAACTCCCCCAACAACCTACGAGCCCAAAGAAACGTCCTAGGAACTTTTCCGGAAATCCGAACCTCTCGCCAAACTCAGGCTGCAGCTCCACTTTTGCTGGCGGAAAGCTTGAAGGTCACATTTGCGCAAAATAGGACCATAGAAAGAGGTCCCTAAGACGGGCTCTTTCAGGCCTAGCCTTAAGCCATCTTAAGCCGTGTTTGGGTTCCATACGTTCGAGAGGACCTAGGGAGCCCCCTGTGCGGCTTAAAAAATGATTGGGTGCCCCTAAATGGGCTCTAACAAATGCGTTGTAGGATGAACCTGTTTATGTGGGCAGTTCAAAGTGGACTTAAGCCCTCTGGAAAGAGAAACAACAGTGAACGATTCCCTTTGAAACCAACAAAGGAAAAACAAACAAAAACATTTCAGCAAATGGGCAGTTAAGCCACATTAAGCCACAATCCTTCGGTCGAGCTTCCGACACCGGAGCAGAAGCCCCCGAAGCCTCTGACGCGGTGGGGGTTCTGGCCCTTGTACACGTAGACGTCTTTGGACTGGGCCGCTTGCAAGCCCAAGCCGCTAAACCCTTGCAAAGAGAGCTTTTTCTCTGCTCAAAGCCCATTAATTAGTAACTTGCAAAGGAAAGTTCAAATTGACCCCAGTTTCGTACCCCGAACCACGGGCTCCGTCCCTTTCATCGGATTGCATTCCAGGACCCAGTTGGCTCCAATGTGGCTGGGGGCGTGTCCCGACAAACCCTGGCAACGGCAAGAAGCACAGCCCATAGGCACACACGGGCAGCCCACGGCCTTGAAAGCCCGGTGCTCCAGAATCAGGAAAGATATGCAACCAAGCTTTGACAGCCTCTTCGAACCTCCCAAAATCTCCTGACCTGCCCCAAGCGCTTGAAGAAATTGCCGGATGATGCCCAGAGCCTGTGGTTTTGCCTCGCGATCTCACTTGGGCCAAGTGGCGAGCTGGCCGCTTGGGCAGCTCTTCCCATCGATCTTGATCTCCCAACCTGGGAATTCCAACGCAACTCCTACCCCGTGGCCCCATATCCATAGCCCGTGGCCCTGCAGGAGGGCCAACTAAAACACTGGCTTCGTAGGAATTGAAAATGACGGATTTCAGGAAGACCATCTGAAAACGTCCTGTCCGTTTGCGATCCGCATTGCTGCCCCATGACTTTGGAATGACAGCCCTCCGCCATTTTCAAGCTGTACAAAGCAGGGAAGCCATTTGCCTTATGTTGCTTCCCTTTAACCCTTTCCCTTCAGGGCAAGGGGGTTCGGGGTCCCCAGTTCGAACAGTGGACACTAACTCACTCTTGAACACATCTCCGAAGGCCGAAGAAATCCCTCAATCAGCCAACTTCATGCCGTGTATGGTAGAAACCAAGCGGTTTACAGGGCTTCCTTCGCTTCGCGCCAACCGCAAACCCCAAATTTCCACCAAACCTTCTTCCCCGGGCAAGGGCAAAGGGATCTCTCCACATTCATTCACCAAAAGGCGTCCGGAGGCGGTGGTATGGCCGTAGACCCGTTGGTTGTCAGAGTAGTAGATTCTCAAGCCACTCTTCTCCTCAGCCATCGGGAGGCTCAAAACAGCAACCGGGTCCGACCCGGTCCTCCAATTTAAACAGTAGACGTTCGCTCAGACTTTAATAAAGGGGAACCACGGGAATCCTTTCCCAATAAAAAAAGAGAAAAAGGGCGGAACTTACTGGGCAACAGAGTACGTGTAAAGAGCTTGGCCCATACTCTCACGGCAGTAGGCACTGGCCCCTGCGGCAGTTGGCAAAACCGTAACAAATGAGCCGTGAGATCCCAGCCCCAGAACCCTTTGGAACCCGAGGCTGCAAACCCCAGAGCCTTCGGCAAAGACCCCCTAGCTTCCTGGGGGAAACATCCAGACGCAACACCTGTCGGAACTGCCATCAGGCGCTGGCTTCTAAATGTACACATTATGCACCAACCAGCTTCTGTGCGCCCAGTGAAAATTCACAGGACCAACAAAGCAAAAGCGCTGAATCCTGTCAAAAGCTGCCATCCCAGCTGGCCATGTCATCTCATTTGAGCACCCTGCGCTTCAGACTTGGCAGGCAGAGTGGCGAAAAAAAGGGGGGGGGGGGGGAAACGAGAAAAACAATCTAGGCGTGGAATCCAACTCCGTTCTTTTCAACCATCGTTCTTTTCAGACACCAGCTGGTTCCCCAACACGTTGGGTTTTTAGAAAGAAGGACGCTTGGAAAGAATGGAAATGGAAGGTACCCCTAGAAAAACGGTCAGCTCACCGCGTGGGCTGATGGAGTTGATGAACCCCCCATCTCCCGAAGACCCCACCCTGCGACCTTTTCGCGCAACGCGAATTCTGCCACGCACAAGCCCACCGGCCATGAGAAAAAAGGGCACGCTTCATGGGTTTGTTACTTGTCAACGGAGGAAACCGGGCTTTTAAACCTTCTTTCCGCGTTTCGCCGGGCTTTTCTCAGCCCACCTGTACTCACTGAGTTGGCCAAGAAGAGTCTCAACTTGTTGCTTACCGCCATTCGGTCTTTCAAAACCGAAAAAAGTTACGAAACCAAAAACGGCCCGGACGAAAAGTTAGGCTCAAGGCGCCGACTTCTTGAAAAACTTCACGCGCCTTCCGTTGAGCTGGCCCTTGTCCTGAATCGAAGGACTTGGGCCGCTTTTCGGACCGCTTCTGGGGGAGCTTTGGTGTTCCAACCCTGAACCTGTGGTTGTTTTTTTGTTTGCCCTGAACCTGTCGTTGTTTTTTTCGTTTGCCCTGAACCTGCAGGTTGTTTTTTTTGTTTGCCCTCCATGGTACCTTTTGGTTTCCTGGCCCTCTCCGAGTCGAACCAAGTCCCCATGGGCAACCTATGCGACTCGCAGGTTGCGCTATTGGAGTTCACCCGAGGAAGCGGCTCGAGGGGAACGGGGGAGGGCCCGGAATCCGCCAAAGAAAAAGAGCCATTAGAGATCCTTACGTGAAAACACCTGAAATACCTGAACATTGCCTTGTAAATGGTGGTGTCCAACTTGATTTTGGTGTTGAAAAAGCCACATGTTTCACATGGTTGCAAAATGTATCTTTTAAGGAGCCCTACCCAATCATGACTATTTGGGAATAGGGACAGCAAGGACCATGTCTTGCAACAGCTCTAGGCTCTAAGTCGGGAATTATTTTACAGAGGTGTATGGGTAAGGGCCAGGCAGGATTGGGTTACATCCTGACCGTAAACATTGTGGACCTAGCTGGGGGTGTCCACCGGATTGAAGCGACATCCTGATAGCATAGACCCCCTTTTGCACCATATAGTTTGCGACACATCTTTTTTACACCGGTTCAACATGCAGCCTGAGTCAACCCTTAGAGTGGCCAGCTAATTAGGATCTTCCCTTGGGTCCCCCTGGTATACCACGGGGATTTTGTTCCACCGTAGCTTGGCAAGTGACAAAACATCCAATCCTCAACCTGCTCCTGCGCGTGTTTACGAAATCCACTGCCCAAGCCGTGGAATTGGCTGATGGGCAAGTTTAGGGCGGATTAAGGGTTGGGTTAGGGTGATTTGGGGTTGGTTTGGGGTTGGTTTAGGGTCGGTTTAGGGCTGATGTAGGGTTTAGGGTTGGCGTTGGGTTGGTTTATTGCTGCTTTATGGTAGTTGAGATTCTGAGTTCTGTCATGTTTGGGACCCTCGTGCATGTTGTCAAAACTTGTGTTTCGCAGGGGGTTGAACTAGAGGCGTTAAGCAGCTACATGTTACAAACAGTTGGCATGTGACACATGCAGGGGAGATGCGACTTAACGTTTTACATGGCCTTCGATTGCCCTGGGCTTTCCCAGCCGCAGACCTTGGCAACTCATTTGGTGGGTCAAAATCCCGTCAACATCCCAATCCCCACTAGACAAAAATGGGTGCGCCGAAAACCCATCCAGAATGGGATTATCCCAAAACGGTTTTGACCACCACGGGCATTTGAAAGCCACGGTCCCGGTCCTTTGTATCGTGGGGCCCGTTCGCAGTTGCGCCGTACAAGTCCAGCAGGGAGGGATCCTCCCTGCGAGACGTCGGCTTTGAGTGCAAAACCGAAAAGACGAAGCTCGCTTGCCCCACTCACTTCCCGAGCTTGGCCAAGCCCAAGCTTCAACTTTTACCCCATGAACATGGAACCTGACGTTCGGGGGGTCCTGGTTTGGACCGTTCTCCTTTTTGAGGGGCCGGGTCTCTGCCAGGTTCCAACCCCAAAGTTTGAAGTCTAGGAACACGGGGCGAGAGCCGGACGTGGCCCACACGAAACGCATGCTCAGATTCTGCTTAAGGAACGGGACAGCCCAGGGGCCTTGACCAAACCGTGGTTTAAAACAGGAAAGCCAAAGGTAACTGAGAAGCGCACTCAAAAGGGGGGTCCTCCCAACCCATTCTGTAAAACACGTGTTGTTGTCCACTCCCAACTAATGTTAACCCCGGATTAATAAACCCCTGGTTGATTAATAGGGGGGCGTCCCCTTTTAGTTGGGATTCATCACTTTTGGAGGGAACACCCCCCTAATAGTGGGACGGGTTTATTAATCCTGGGTCAACATTCAAAAGAAAGGGAGCCGACAAAATGAAAGACCTGAAGCAAATCTATGTTTTGGAAAGCGCCCTAAATCTCCCTCAGCCTCTATCACCCGAATTGCCTGAAACAACTTCGAAACACACCAGGCCGTGGAAATTGCGAGGAGAGTTCCTCTCTGGGTTGGGACGTAGTTCCGTTATTACCCTCATGTCCATTTTTGTTTGGAACCCGCCAGAGGGTCCATCTTTGAACTTCCAGGAACCTCCAGTGAGGTTCTATGTTAATGGATCGCAGGGTACCCTTGACTTCTTGATTGATGCCTGGCCCTACAAGAACTGAGTGTTGCTTCGAACTTCTTTTCCATTTTCTTTTTTGACGTATCCCAGAAAGTGACAAGGAAGAAACATGCTTCAGAAGGTTTTCTACACGTGTAAGCTAGCCCCATATTCTCCCAAACAGGGTTTCAGCGGCGAACCCTGGTTTTGGCAGCTTAGGCATAGCTGCGACCCGGATTAATTGAGCAAAACTTCGGGTCCCCCTAACACTTGAAGATTCCCCTCTAAAATAAATGGGACGCCGTTTTGGTTTTTTCAATCTTTCTTTTTTTTTTTTCTCTCGGGGCTAGCATTCCCCCCCGAAGGGATTGGTCAGTGGAGCCATGGGAGTCCCAAAGCCTTCTCCTCCTGCGTACCGCTGGTCCAAAGAAGAACCTGGTTTGTTTAGGCAACTTGCGGTTAACCCACGTCCCCTCACCCGTCCCCTCCGATCCAAACTTGTGCTCGTGCCTGGTCTTGTCCTGGCACTCCGCTTTGCTGTCCAAGGCGTAGCAAAACTTGCCCTTCCTCAGGCCGCAGTTTGGTCTGGAAAAAGTCAAAAGTCACGAAGCTCCTTTTGGTCATGTCTGAGAACATGAAGAAACACATCAGAAACAAATTCAAATAATCGAATTGCGTGTCTCGAGCCACATTGGGAATATCATGTCCCTTCTCTAGAAAAGACTAACAAAAACACAAGTTTACTCACAGGAAGACAGTTAAACACATATTGGTTAACAAAACATAAGTTTCCAAGCAGTTGATTTCACGAGTTTCCGATTTTGTATGCTTGTCATTTTTAGAGTTCAATGCAAACAACCATTCGATGTTGTATACAAATAATACCAACAAATGTTCATGGGAAAAGCATTAGTAATAACACATTATCACCCAATGGGCCAGTGAACACTAAACCTGGGACCGAACAACCCTTCTCCTTTTCGTCTTGGGGCAAAATGAAGAAGCCCATACAGACTGCACCCCGGGCTAGAAATCGTACTGACTCCGTTCGCTTCAGGAACCTGGAGCACGTCCATGTTCCCTTTGCCGTTGAAAGACAGGTATTATGACTACCAGTCACGGCCTGGTAAAATCTAATTGTGTGTCCGCAGTGAGAAAACCACTGCGCAGCCCAGTGAAAGGAGAAAGACATGCTTTTGAAAAGCCAAGTTTGCGTTGTGGCTCTTGCCTTAGCGGGACAACACACATGTTTGCAAAAACGACATCCGAAAAAAAAAAAAAAAAAAAAAAAAAAACAGACAGGCCACATAATAAAGCGACCCCGACCACCCCCGAAACTGTGTGTGAGTGTGTGTTTGTTTGTTTGCTTGCTTGTTTGTTTGTCTGTCTGTCTGTCTGTCTGTCTGTTTGTTGGTTTGTGTGTTTGTTTCGGTTGTGTGGCTGTTTCTTTGCTTGCTTGTTTGGTGATTGTTTCTATGTTTGTAAGTATGTTTGCATGTGTGTATGTTGTATGGTTGTATCGCTGTTTGTTTATGCGCTCGTTTGCTTGTTCGGTTGCTTGCTTGTTTGTTTGCTTGCTTGTCTCTTTGTTTCTGTCTTTGCTTTTTGTTTCTTTGTATGCATGCAGGTATGCGTGTTTGTATGTGTGTGTGTGTGTGCGTCGGTTTGCTTGGTTGATTGTTTGTATGTTTGTTTGGTTGTTTGTGTGTGTGTGTCTGTGCTTGCTTTTCTGCTTGTTTGCTTGTTTGGTTGCTTGTTTGTTTGTTTGTTTGATTGTTTGTTTTTTTTGTTTGTTTGTTTGCTTGAGTGTTTGTTCGGGTGTTGGCTCGCGTGCTTGTTTGTCTGCTTGCTTGCTTGTTTGTCTGCTTGCTTGCTTGTTTGTGTTTGATGGGTAGAATGTTAACTGGTTGCTTGATGCTGCTTGCTTGCTTGCTTGATTGCTTGCCCTTGCTTGCTTGATTGCTTGATTGCTTGATTGCTTGATTGCTTGATTGATTGATTGATTGATTGATTGATTGATTGATTGATTGATTGATTGATTGATTGATTGATTGATTGATTGTCTGCCTGTTTTTTTTGCTTAATTGTCTGGTTGTTTGTTTGTTTGTTTTTGTGTGTATGATTGTTTGTTTGTTTGTTCGTTTGTTTGCGTGGTTTATTGTTTGCTGTCGTTTGTGTTTGTATGCATGGTTGTATGCGTGTATGTTTGCTCGTTTGCTTGCGGTTGGTTGCTTGCCGTTTTGCTTGCTGTTTGCTGGCTTGTCTTTTGGTTTGTTTGTTTGTTTGATTGATTGATTGATTGATTGATTGATTGTGTGTGTGTTTGTTTGTTTGTTTGTATGTGTGTCTGGTTGATTTGTGCTTGCCTGTTTATGCGCTTGCTTATGCTTGCTTGTGTGTGTGTTTTGCCTTTGTATGTTTGGTTGCCGGATTGTTTGCTCGTTTGCTTGTTTGTGTGTTTGGTTGTTTGGTTGGTTGTTCGCCTGTTTGTGTGTGTGTGTGTTTGGTTGGTTGGTTGGTTGGTTGCTTGTTTGTTGCTTGTTGTGTTAGTTAGTTAGCTAGTTAGCCAGTTTGTTTGTCTGTCTGTTTGCCCTACTTCCCCAGATGCACACACAAACAAGCAAACAGACATAAAGCAGGCGTGATAGGAGACCCCAGCCAATACTCTCCGAGTTTAAACCTTCGGGGTCTGTCCACATCGGCATTGACTCCATCCCGAGATCTGAACAAAAAACAAAGAGTAATGGTAAAAAAAACGTGGCAAGGCAAACGCTCCAACGCCCAGCTCTGGATGTGCACGTGCCCCGGAAAATCTATTGACAGGATGGATCCCTCACAGACTCGTGGGAGCGAAGCTGGGGTTTAATCCGTAGGACGGATTTTCAGAAGGGCAACCATCCGCAAGGATTGCTGGGTCATGACCACAGGTCTCCCCTTCTTGGAAAATAGATGGCCCTGGTAAATGGAACAAAACCAATCAACCCTGTGCCATCTATTTCTAATCAAGCCAACAAAAAAAAAAACGCCTATGGTCATGACTTGTATTGGGTGATCAGCGTCAGCAACTGGGGGTGATTTTCACTTAGGAGGCGATGATGGTGAAATGGGCTTCTTCTTGTGAGGGGTACCCCATTTTTTATGGTTCAAAAGGAAAACCAAAAGGGACACCAAAGCCATTTTGGGGGGACCAATCCTAAACACCCACCAGAAAACGGCGTCAATATTAACGATTGATTCTGAGCCCACGATGGAACTCCAAGCTTCTCGCAGCTCGCATCTTCGCACATACAGCCCTCGCCAAGCGGGACTTTGTCGCTCTCGGGGCACTTCAGCTCTTTTCCTGCCAAGTTTTCCTGGAAGGATCCCCACGCTTGTGGTTTAAAAGCATTGGACACTCTAAACAAATGCAATTTTACTCTCCCACCAATCAAACTGGAACCATTCGGGAGGGTCCCTTTAAAGGAACAGGGTCTGTCAAATCACTCATTTTGTGATTACGCCTGGGGCTGTCACGCTGATATTTGATTTGTTGAAATATCACTCCTGGTGGGTCCCGGTGTTCTTGTTTTGGCATTCACGCCTCTCATGTTTGTATTGAAATCCCGCCTGGTGGTCCGAGGTTTCAAAAAAATAGAAGCAAAAGCCACTAAGGCGTTCATTCAAAAAACAAACACCGGGGCCGTCCAGGCGTGATTTAAACATATGTGTTTCCAAAAACAACACTAGAGCCAGCGGCATTCAAAGAAACACCGACCCGGGACAGTGGTGTTTTTCTTTGGAATCACCAGTCGCTCACTCACTCACTCGCTTGCTTGCTTCGTCTGTGAACAAAAACACACTAATCCCAAATGAAGGTTTTCAAAATAAGCATGACTGGGTGTGAATTCAAAACACCAAAGAAAAAAACGGTTCCGTCTAGGACCCTGTCAGGTTCCATGTTGATTGGTGGGAGGGTAAACAACAAAGACAATAAAACTGGTAAACCAAACACAACAACCAACACAACGCATGACAACCACAACGTGGTAGCTAAACCAAACTGCGAAAGGGTTTGAAACGGAGTTTCGGGAAGGATAAAACAGGCCCTAACCCACCAACAAGAAGAGACCACCTTATCCCCCCCGGTCCCAAGGGCAAAGCAGTTGCCCCCGGGCGGCACTAACACGAACCAAAAGGGGTGCCTCGTTGTAACAAGAAGGAACCAAGCAGAAGCGCAGCACAGCGCAAAGCAGACAAGCAAACCAGCAGCAAGCAGCACCAAGCGAGCAAAGCGAGCAGAAGCAGCGCACCCCAAACAATAGCCCGACCCACCTCCAGGACAAAGAACACCGCCCCAAACACAACGGTCGCGAAGCCACGCGGCCGGTGTGCGGATGCGCCGTGAACTTTTCCCGCCGAGATGGCGAACAATGAATGCCGGATGCAAAACTTGAGCCAAAATGCCGCGTTGGGCACTGGCGTGAAATATTCTATGATAAAAGTGCATGCCCCCAAAAACACCCCCCTCGACTGTACAAAGATAAGGAGTGAATTTGGAAAGGCGCATTGGCCATGTTGAAGTTGAATTGCAATAAACAAGAAAAACAAAGGAGATTAGGCTACCAGGGTTCGCGACCCCATACCCGGGCACTCATTGGTGCCCGGATCCCGCCACCACCCCGAATTACGGGTATGGGGCGGATTCGCGCCGGTAGCCAAATCAAACAAGAGAAAGCAAAAAGAAACAGAAACAAAGATTCAACTCCAGAATGGCAGGCATGAAGCTATAAATAAAAAGACATTTGCATTGCAACCACATTGAACCGATAGACTCAAGTGGATTTAATTTTGAATTATTGGGCAAGGCGCGTTGGCCGGCAGGTTGAAACGTGGTGCGTTGACCAGTTGCCATCGGCCTCAAAAGCACCGTCTAGGCGCGCGGTCACTCGAAGACGGCCGGCACGAGTAGCACCGGCAGCCGTCAGCGGTATAGGTCCAAGTTGGACACCTCCGGCAGCGGTGCAGCGCAATCGCGATCATCACGCCAGCACCTTGATGATTTCTTTCACCAGCTGCATCAGCGGTTCAGGAGGATGCGAATCGCCAGCCGCCAAAGGGGCCGGCGAGAATGGCTACCTTGCGGTAACAGGGTGTACCTGACAGGACAATGTGACCAGCGCGATTAGCGCACGGTCACTCGTGCAATTGAATTTTGATTTGGTGAATAACCGATTTTGGTGGATCGACGTCAGGAGCATTGTCCTGTTGCGTCATCATGCAACGATTGAATTTTCGATGAGACCAAACGCTACGAGTGCGCATTGGCACTATTTTGCGGGACGCAGCGATGGCAGATCAACATAGGGCATCATTTGCCCCTGCCGCCGCCGCGCTGTCCCCTTCCCTTCCCGGTGCTCCAATCCCCGGGTGGGGCTTCAGAAGGCTCGGTTTCAGCCAACTCATCATCATCACCCCAAGTTGGGGTGTGCGGTGAGTGAGGGTTCATATACGCGCCGAGATTTTCCGGCGGAAATTGCGACCAACCCTGCGGCATTGCGCCAGCCCACATCTGCGGCATCATGCCAGCCATAGGCTGCTGCATGAAGCCGCCCATGGGGAAAGTGGGGAACATGGGACTAGGATACGGAAAGGGAGCGGTTTGCGCGCCCTTGTATCCCGTGCCGCGAGCGTCGGGCTGGTAATTGCCCGTCGGTGTCCTCGACCGGGCGGATCCGCCACGGCCGTACTGCTGGCCGTATTGGCCGCCTTTGCCCTTCTACTGGTCACCTTTGTAACCCTTGAATTGGTCAGCATTGTGACCTTTGCCTGCATTCGGGTCCCCTTTGGGACCTCCTCCCTTGGGCCAGGAGCCCGCAGGGGCGTTGCCCTTCCGAGTGTCTCCCTTGCCCTTCTGATCCGGTCGCATCGAAGCTGAGCGACCATCACCTCGAGGCGTTGCCGCCCGCCTGTGATGCTTCCCTGTTGGAGCATCGGCAAACGTGATGACGCCTTGGCCATCACGCTGCCCAGCGGGAACCATCTCGACCTTATCCAGGTCGGTGTAGATGTACGCCTCAGCATACTCGATCGGGACGGTTATCGTCCCACCACCGCTCCTCAGGGAGTCAATACTCAAACTGAGGGTCTCGGTGATGTCAAAATTAACGTCTTCGGCGGTGAAGTCCGCGAGGCGTCGCTCGGCTTGGACCGTGGACATGATCACATCCTCCCGAGAGGCGCTTAGGCCGTACAGCGGGACGAGGAAACCGTCCTCAACGCCGATGCGGTATGCATCATAAATATATACAGAAAGATAAAAGGTAAACGCAGATTGGAGACTGCCTTTCCTAGTCATGTGGCGTCCCCCACTGTGCCGCTTGTTGCGGGTGGTCGATCAAGTACGCCAGGACTGTCATACCCTCAGGGACTGGGTTTCCAGTCTCGCTTTCCTCGATGAGCAGTTGCTTTGCTACCCATCTTTCAAGCGCTTCATCACTCGTTCTTACGCACGAGTGAGTATCCATGTGGGTGATTTTCTCAACCTCATTGAACGCCACCTCCACAATATCCGCATTGGGATTGTGTACGAGGTATGGCGCACAACGCAAGCCAGAGATCATGCAACTGACCACCTCCCGGATCGGGTTTACCGACGCCATCAGGGGGGCCCAGCTGCGCGTTTCCGCGTAGTCCCAGCTGTTGGGTAGGACTGCCTTGAGTCCGTCCACCCACGTTGGCTGGCCACGCCTGGCCCGAGACTGAGAAGTGCCGGGCACCCACTCCCTGTAGAAAATGGGCAAGTGGCAACCATTGCATAGAATTGTGCCGTACATGTTCAGATGTGCACAACGAGGGCACCAATAGTCATGCATGGGAGCTTTGTCCCACGCGAATGACATCCCTCGCGGCGGACCTGGGTCGCCCGAAGCCCGGACTGCCCATGGTCGGATGTATATTACGTCCCCCTCTTGGTGCAAGTAGCATGCACGCCAAAAGGGTGCGTGAATTTCCTCACGCGCGGCAATGAAACCGCGTCGGGTTTTGTATATGCCCGCGACGCCCTCAAACGCCAGCCATTTCAGGTCGATCGCCACGACAACATGGCGCCTGTCCATGTATGCGGCACGTTCATCGACGTAAAACTCGCCCTCACTATTGGGGCTTGGCAACTTCAGGAGGGGCACCTTTGCGCCCTCCATGCCGATCTGGATCTCCCCCCTGGAGACCTTGTCAGGTCGCATAGGGAAGACCTGAATGGCGAATTTGCCGGGATGCACCTCGTTTTGAGGGCAGATCTATACTCAGGCATGGAAAGCAGCACATATCCCGTATGAGGGACCTCCGCTGCCTCCATTGGTCTCAGCAAGGGCCCGATCGGAGTACGATCGCGTAGCGCCCATCGCTTGAAAACCTTGTATGGCACGTCCCTCCTGATCAGGGTGGAACGCGCAAAAATCACTTCGCTTGTGACCACTGTTGGGTCATCTTCCCCCCAGACTCTCCGCATTAGGAGCTCCACTGGGGGGTAGGCGGGGTGCTCCCGTGCGAGAGCACCCGCCCACTTTGCCACGTCAAGGCCTGTGCACTTGACGATCCCGTGTAGGGCTACAAACAGCATGGAGATCAGGGGCATTGACATCCAACCTCCAAGTATGTCAGGAACCGTTCCGCATAAGCGGAAGGACGGATCACCAGGCTTAACACTTACCATGGTCCGTGCAACCTGACAAAACTTCTAGAAGCATATATGCCTCTCTGGAGCATCGCCCAGCGACCGTTGCTGGGTCGGCGATCTCGGGGAAAAACCCGAAGATGCCATCCCCAGCAGGACAGGCGATTCTGCCAAACGTGATGCTCGAGGGGTCCAGCAGGACCTCCTCACCCTCGTAAGTAAAATTATAATTGCTCGTAATCGAACACACGGCGGGTTTTACCATTGCCGCGTCCTCAAGCGACGCACCGACCGGGAGGAGACCGGACTCATGCGCTTTGGCATTGGTCGGAGCACTCCCCTCGGACATTCGCCGATAGTTTTCGGCACGGATGAGAGGAAACAAATGTTTCATCCTATCAATTTCTTCCTCCGTCGTACGCCAGGCCTTCGCCTCATAGTACGGCGGCTCCTGCTTTGAGGGAATCAAATCTCTGCTCTCCATTTCGGAGAACTCGGCAACGAATGGCCCAATGCCATCGTCCTCGACGTGATTTTCAAAGTCCTCGTCCGAGATGTATTCTCTGGGCGGCTCGCCCAGTTCATTCAGGTCAACCTCTCCAAGGTCAATCAGAGCTGGAGAATCCAGGATTTTCTGGATCCCCATGAGCTCATTCCTGAATTGCTCAAAATCCCGCGGTGCGGTGGTC